TTTTACACTTAAAAGATCCATTTTTTTTACAATTTGGTGGAAAAAAATTTATGAAATCATGCTAAATTGTAGAATAATTGAAAGTGGTTATGCAGAAAGCAGCCAGCCACAAAAACTCAAACTGAGCTAAATGCACTTTTGTCTAAATGTTGAATAATCAAATCTATACAACACAGCTATTTTGTGAGCAATTACGGGGAATTTTTTGTACAAAAGCCGCCTGGCTGGTTTTCTTAGAGCATAGAATTGATCTTTCCCCATCGGGTGACATTATATTAATTTGGCCAGAATTGTGGCTGGCTACTTTATGCATAACTACGTTTAATATATGTTGAATTAACTTTTAATTATTTTTCGTTGTAAACGTTTTATGTAAATAAAAGCCAAGAGTTTATTGCTTGTAAAGATTCTTATAAGATCTGATTTTTTTTTAATTTAATATATAATTTTATTTAAAAAAAGGACACACACGCAAACACACACACTGTATTAGATTCAATGTTCTGTTTACTCAAAAATATGTGTTTTTTAGAAGTGTAGGGTTTAGTTAGTTTTAAAAATTAATTTTTTTATTAAGTTATATCTATGAATGTTTTAATAGATAAACAAAAGTCACACACTGTATAAGAAAAAAATTGTTTTTATTGTCCAGTTGTTATAAATAAAAACTTAGTGGGATTAAGATGCTTTATTTTGAAAGATTTTAACCTTTAGTAATTTTTATTTGGTGATGATTTTAAGCTGTCTTAAGTGTATTTCCCAGGTTGGCGCAATTTGATCATTTTTATGCATGTTGAAGAAAATTTTAGCATTATTTTGACTGCATAATTAAACCAGTAGTTAAAATAAATAAAATATTGAGGTATAAAAACAAGTTTTAAAAATTTTTCTCCCCTCTAACTTCCAACTTTTCTCCTCATACTTCCCATTTCTCCCCTCTAATTTTTATTTTTGATTAGGTATTGAAAATTTCCTTATCAACTTATTTCCTAAACATATTTTCATTAAATAGCAAAAACTAGCTAAAGTATTATTGTAATATCAGCTACTGTAATATAAAATAATATAGCTACTGAAATATAAAATACGATTATATTTCAACACTTGAAAAAAACGTCTGAGAATTAATCATATAAATATATTATACTATCATATAAACAATTCATCAACTATAGAAAACAACAAGATTTAAAACATAAAGAGTAATTCCTAGATAACTAGTTGTTCTTAATATATTATTAGTAAACGATAGTTGAGATCAAAACGCACAGATTTAGTAAGGCAATTAAATAATTAGAGGTTTCCATTAGGTTTCTTCTTCAAAAAGTATATTTTGCAAATAAAATTAAAAAATCAACAAAAACTAATTATATATATATATATACATATATGTATGTATACATATATATATATATATATATATATTTTTTATTCACCTCCCCAAGGCCCGAGGGGGCCACTACATAGCCAATTTTAAATGGGTTCTTTACCACATATGTTGCCTCACGTATGGCGTATAAAGTGTTTTAAGTATTTGCAGATTCCATTATTTTTTTTAAGCTTTACATATATATATATATATATATATATATATATATATATATATATATATATATATATATATATATATATATATATATATATATATATATATTATTATTATTATTATTATAAATATATTTCAGACAACATGCAAATACAATTTAGGTGCCAGGTCCATAGTTTTTACAAGAAAAATATTTTTTTTATTCACCTCCCCAAGGCCCGAGGGGGCCACTACAGTCGAGGAGGCTAGTCATTTTTTTTTTTTAATTTTTTTTTTTGTTGTTGTTGTTGTAAATCCTCTCTCAACTCTTTAACTCCGAAACACGAACCTTGACAAGCAAGGCTGCTGCGCAGAGAAATTAAGTTGAGCGCGGTACTTCTAGGGACATGGTGGGAGTCGAACTCCAAACCTCTCGCTTACAAAGCGAGCGCTCTTACCACTACACCACTACCGCATATATATATAAGGAAATGATGGGGGCCCCAGCTAAGACTAAAAATGAGACTTTTTGCAAATCCAGCCCCTGTAAAATTATAAGATTTAATAGGAATTGATACTATAAATGCTATAAATGTATAACACACATGCTATAAATGTATAAAAAAGGAAAACATGAAGATGGGTAAGAGTTATAAGGTCTTTTTGGTGTGCAAGGAAAAAAAATGGATTAATAAAAGTTTTTATAGCATGAAGGGACATCTACAGTAAAAGAATGCAACTTGTTGAATAAGAAGCCAAGCAAAAATGAGTTTTGGTTTATTGTAATAAATATGATAGCTCGTTTGAGCGTTGACCTTGATTAGGGAAACATGATTATGACGATGCTGGTAATGATGATTATGACAATCATGTCAGACATAATGATGTTTATATATGCATATATATACAGAATATAACATGAATTTTAAATAAACCAAATATACCTTAAAATGTATAAATGTTCAAGCAGCCCTA